AGATTATAGTAGGGAACTCAAGTCATTGCTCTTTTTTCCTCAGGGATTAATTCAGTCTAAAAAGGAAAATAAATTACTTTTTAAACAGAGAAACAGCAATACACACGTATCTAAGAAAGCCATAGGAGGCTGGTTAGGAACAATTTTTCAGCATGACATTACAGGGTCACCTAGCCCAGAAACAACACTCATTGCTCCTGAACTATATAAGCTTTGCACTACAGGAAAAATTGCAACTTGGCAATTATGTCGCTGTGGGAAAACCTATAATTTTCTTACGTTTAACTGACAGTCTTCTACCAATACTTTTTTCTTATACTCTGTTATTAGTATTAGCTATTGACCACAACTGAGAACAAGACAAAAGTACAATCTAGACCAGAATCTTTCCATTGTAAGAATTCTCCAAATTCTACTGCCAAAGGGAAAAAAAAATTAGACAACAACACAACAAAACTAACAGGCATCAGACATGCTGCAAAAGCTACCCTGCTCTAAATAAACTTAATCCAGGAAGGAAGAACTCCTAAGCAATCCAAATGACCAATCACATGCCTATTCAAAGTAGATTCACTCATTGTATCTAGTTGTGTGACTTAGATTAGAAAATAAAAAAGATTGAAAGTTCTTGTAAATTATCTAAACTTTGTAGCTTATGTATTTGTACCCATTTGTCTGCTGAAAGCTTCTTGCTTGCTGAGAACAACAACATCCTAAGATAATACCACCAATTCCTAGCATGCCATACCTTAAAAAGTCACAATGCTACTGTAAAATGACCTGTCCCATCCTACCAATTACCTGTCTTTGAGCTTCTGACTATTTGGTGCGTTCTACACAAAGGAATTGTGAGAAAGAAAAAAAAAAAAGCATTATTCTATACCTGCATAGTTTAAAGTAGTAATACTAGGGTGAGGTCTGGCAAGATCATAAGGAAGAAAAGTTCAGTATAATGAAAGTTGTGTGATTCATTATGCATCAAAGTTAAGGCAAGTAAGAGTTTATTTAAAAGAAAATCCAAAAACTAACCTCAAACCTGAAACATAGGCTTGATAGATACAAGTAAAACTTAGCTAGTAGCAAGCAAAGATAATGAAATGGTAAAGTGAACCCTGATGGCTAAATAAGTTTTTACACACATTATATGAAGCATTAAATTCAAAAGCAAGCACAAATAATCCAAGTAACTAATGTAGTCTTTTACAAGAATTGCCTACTAGCTCTTAAAACCTCAATGAAAAGTGAAAATACAAAGATCAAGATAACAAGTGCATCTTCCCAAAGAGATTTTTTTTTTTGTGAATTGTTATACAAATAGCTGGCAGATCCTTTTCACCACATGCTGAGTTGCATGATGCACTTCATAACATCAACCAACAATCTCACCGTGATGACAACTTTTAAATAATTTTTTCCCTCTGCCTTATCATGACTTTCCAAAATGCTATATTTAGTAATTCTTAAATCTCTGCAAATCAAAGCTAAAATACACAGCACTTTGGCTCAACTCAGTCCCTTGCTGGGACCTGACACTGCTTAGATGAACTATCTGCACCATGAATTATGCATTCATTCACTATGTGATGTGTATACATACCCAATGAAGGAAAGGGCTCAGTGAATCCACAGCAGTATGACACCATTGTAAAATTTGGAGATTACAGGGCATGGCAAAACTGCATTTGTAATAAGCAAGAATTGGGAAGGAAGGAGGTAATTTATCACTGGAAGGGTGTTATCTTACGTATTTGAGGAAGGAGAGGAAGGAGTAGTTTCACTTGTAATTTGTCAGGTAGGAACAAAGCTAACAAGCCCTATAAACCCAAATGAGAACATCTTGACACTGTCCTTCACTGCATACCATCATTTCAGAAGTTAGTGCAATTATAATTCTTCAACACATTCCACCACATCAGCACTGAGGCTACAAGACAACACTGCCACATCTGTTTCGTTCTGTGTGAAGCCGTGAGTTGGAATCAATTATCCTTTTGGTTCCCTTCTTATTCAAGATATTTTATGATTCTTGTATCTGTCTTTGCATATTTTCTAAATCTGTTGGGTTTTTTTTTTGAGCTACAATGTATACCACTTCCTAAAGTTACTAAAATGGCAGTGACCATCACCTAACATAAAACACAAACAAGATTAACATTAGGAAAAAAAATTGTTTATATCAAAATGAATTATATTTAAAGAAAGTTACACATAATGTGTGTTGCAAAATACAAAGTACAGGAATATAGACTGAAAATGTATTACAAGTTTTTAAAAGCAAACAAATCACATCAGAATTATTCAACACAGCTTTACAGATCATACGACTTCAGAATTATTTGTACAACAAAGAAATTTAATCTGCTATAAATTTAAAGCACATTAATTATAAAGTGGTATCACCAAGTATGCAAAAGAGACATTGCTGTGTTTTTAATTATGACTTAGAATAAATTAGTCATGGGTGGGTTTCTTCAGAGGGAAGGATGGAAGGGAAACAATGTCATCTTCTCTGCCAGTTGGGTTAAAGTTAAAATGATTTTATTGCCTTAAATTACACACAGAGAGAATTGGTTTTTTTTTTTTCTTTGCTGAAGATGCCAGTAAAAGTTCAAGATCTGTAGTTACCAAGAGCAACTGCATATAATTCAGCCTCCTCTATCACTTTTAGCTCTCTCCTCTTCCCTCTGAAGTGATTGAACTTGCCTTCTTACCCTTAACAGAATTTATCTCCTTTCTCCATTCTATTCTATCGAACTATTTATTCTCTTGTAAAACCATAGATTGTGACAACTAACCAAAGTCCACAGGATAGAGCTACTGAGACTTTTAGTGCGTGTGTCTTTCCATATGGAGAATATTGGTTTGGTGGACTACTGACAGCAACAAATATCCTTTGCTGTGACTTCAGCAAAGCCTACAGCATGTCCTATATTGGCTTTTAACCAGACCAGTAACATACAGGGTAGATAAGCAGACAATAAGGTTGGAAGAAAAACTAGCTGGCCCATCAGGCTAAAAAGGTTGTAATGAGTGGTTCAAAGTCCAACCAGCAGCTGATTACTGGTGGCTCCTCCCAGGTGCTAATACAAAGGCCAGCAGTTTCACATCTTAAGAGTAATCATTCACACACTCTTAAAGAAACAGATCCTACTACTGTCTTCAACTACCTAATGAAGAAGTAAATAAGAGAGACAGGCTATTTTCAGGGAAGCACAGTGACAGAACAAGAAGCAATGGACAGGAAGTTCCAAAAGTGGTGGTCCCAATTAGACATCAGGAAAGACTGAAACAGACATTCAGAGAGACTTTGCAATCTCCATCCTTAGGTACACTCAAAACTCAACCAGACAAAGCCACAAACAACCTGATCCTGCTTTCAGCAGGAGTCCAGACTAGATGACGTTAGAGATGTCTCTTCAAAAGCATATTATTCCACGGCTCTAAAACCTTTTTCTGATATACTATTGGGAAAAAGGTGCAAGAGCAAGAGCACTGCCTTCACAGTATCTCAATCCTCACTCCATAGGAAAAGATCACAAATAAAATTTACATAAACGATCAAGAAGAGTTGAGTTTGTGAATGTTCAGAAGTTAACATGCTCTATAAGAACCATTTTGTAGGAGACGTATTTGTTAAAAATTCATTAAACAACATACAACTTGTTCCAGAACGCATCTGGTAAAGGTCTTATTAGCAAATGACAGTATAGCACTACAGCATTTAAATGTTCTGAAAAGCTATTCAAGTCATGCCACTGTATTTGCCTACTGTGCAATGCTGCATGTACCATGAATTCATGTGATTTTATGGACTCATTGTGAAGTGTGTACTGAAGAATCTCTTCTTCCTCCCTGAGTTGTGAGGTAAGAAGACATTTACAATACTGCTTCTCTACAATCTTCTCTCTGGATAGAGAATACCTTATTTCAATATTTAAATGTCAAAGTAAGCGAAAGAAACTGTGCAGGACTACTATCTCTATGCTGTATTTAGGAAAGCAGAGATTTGACATCTAAATGACTTTCTCCAAGTCAGAGAACAAGTGGATGAATCAAGCACAGGAAATTAATAAAGCACACCCAACTTCCAGTTTTTATTTTGGCAGCAAGAAAGATAAGAAGCCTCATTTGAGAAAGAGAAAGTACATACGGACATACAAATATTCTCTCTTACTGAAGAATATAACTACTTTTTTTTTTTTTCTAGCTGAAGAAAACTGTTTCAAATGGCTGAGGGGAGGTGGATGTACTGAGAAACTAAAAATTCCTTCAGAATGCAAACTTGTATGAATTCCTGTTTTACACTTACCACACTCCTCTTCCATTATGCTCCTGATTACTCTCTTCTATTTCCAGATACATTCCCCTCTTCCACTCCCCCCTCTCCCCCCAAAAAACTGTTCGTCGACTCCGAAATAAAAAGTGACTTGAACACTTATAATATTTACAGAAAGACATTCAAAACGTTTTTTTTTTTTAAGCTTCTTACAATAGCACCGCGGTAATCTAAAAAATACTTGAAGTGCTTCTGCAACATTTAGCCAAACTCAATCATTACTTCTTCCCATTTACTAAAGTAAGCTGAGGTAATTTTATTTTTAAGTGTGTGCAGATCTGACCACTGAGTCACCGTTCCTTTCTAAACCCATCTGTGGTTTCCCTGGGCAAACAAAATGGCCATATTTCCTTTGGACAGCAGAAGAATCAAGAATACACCTCCAAAGTAGGCATAGTCTGACTTCGTACAACATGATCACCTGATGTTTCAATTTGTAAGCTGGAGCTCTATCTATGACTCTGTCCCTTTCAAGGCTCAAATGCGAAGAGACAAAAGGCAATAGTGAGGGTGGTACCAAATCAATTCATGGCTCTACCTGGCACAACTCAGCTGTACACAATCACTCCCTTTTGTAAGATAAAGGCTGAAGTGTTCAAATGGCTGGGCTACTGGCAGGCAATCCAGCTCAACAGAATACAGATAAGCAATATTTAATTCTTACCTGATATGAGTTGCCGGAAGAGACTCATACTGGCGAGAAAGGAAGAGCTCTCTGTGTTTCAGCTGATGTTTCTGTTTATCAGTCAAGTCAACCTCAATTGTAGTTTCAGACTCTTCTTCAACTTCTTCTGCAGAGAAGCAGAGCGTAGGTCGAAATTAACTCTGTTACATAATACACTTACAGCCATTTCACTTGACATTTCCCCCACCCCTTAGCAACTTCCCTTAGTATTTAAAAGAAAAGATGAGTTCAACAAGACTAGTTTACGTAAGTTGACAGAATATTAAGTATTTTTAATTCCATACCTTCTACTCATACCCTTTACAAATTCCTCTCCTACTGTACTATGCACTGATGTCTTTCATACAGCCATAAGAACAATCCCAACAAAATTGCTCATTCTTTGTTCACCTTCTTTCACCTTTTTTTCCTCTAGGTATGCTTCTTCCTTGCATACCAGTACATTCTGCTACTGATAGTCTTATGAGGAGCGGCTGAAGGAGCTGGGATTGTTCAGTCTGGAGAAGAGGAGGCTCAGGGGAGACCTCATTGCACTCTACAACTTCCTGAAGGGAGGTTGTGGTACAAAAGGGTCTGGCCTCTTCTCCCAGGCAAATAGTAGGACCCGAGGAAATGGCAAGAAGTTATACCAGAGGAGGTTTAGGTTGGATATTAG